CCAGTCACCCTGCACAAGGGGAGAGAGCAGCAGTGAGCGGTCTGTATTACAGGAGGGGGCGGAGACAAGACCGGTCACCCTGCACAAGGAGAGAGCAGCAGTGAGCGTTCTTTATTATAGGAGGGGGCGGAGACAAGACCAGTCACCCTGCACAAGGGGAGAGAGCAGCAGTGAGCGGTCTGTATTACAGGAGGGGGCGGAGACAAGACCGGTCACCCTGCACAAGGAGAGAGCAGCAGTGAGCGTTCTTTATTATAGGAGGGGGCGGAGACAAGACCAGTCACCCTGCACAAGGGGAGAGAGCAGCAGTGAGCGGTCTGTATTACAGGAGGGGGCGGAGACAAGACCGGTCACCCTGCACAAGGAGAGAGCAGCAGTGAGCATTCTTTATTATAGGAGGGGGCGGAGACAAGACCAGTCACCCTGCACAAGGGGAGAGAGCAGCAGTGAGCGGTCTGTACTACAGGAGGGGGCGGAGACAAGACCAGTCACCCTGCACAAGGAGGGAGAGCAACAGTGATCCGGTCTTTATTATAGGAGGGGGCGGAGACAAGACCAGTCACCCTGCACAAGAGTGCGCGGAAGTGAGTGGTCTTTGTTACAGGAAGCTCCGAGTCTCACATTGGATTACAATTCCACTTCGAGCAAACCTCTGCATGGCCCGGGAAGATGGGCTCCCTTTAATGGCAGGAAAGAATGTGTTATTCCCTCTTGCCGATGGTCCGAATGGTGAGAATGCAAACAAGGCAGCCGCCATGTTTTATCTACAACAATGAGAGCAGCCTGGCAGGACACCAGAGATAACGAGGAGCAGATGGAGGGCGGCAGGCTTCCAGATCGGGGGATGAGGCCTGGAAACTCCTTCCATGAGGGATGAACGGTACTCCCAAAACTGGGCACAGGGTCTCCCGTCCGTCCCAGGGGTGATCATGTGATACGGGGGTCTTCTGCACCTCCATTTACATATCAGCATGACGAATACCAATATTCCCACCACACGCCTGGGAGCAAAGTGATATCTATACATTGTAGGAGGTTTTTTTTTCCTGCCCCCTCCCCATACACACACCCACCCCCCCTGTACATACCACCATAGCCATTCATACCCATTACCTGCCCAGGACTGCCAGCTGGTTCATGTTAAGTGCCAGGTTGGTGACTGGAGACAGGGCAGAGGCGGTGTCAGCCTCGCGGGAGAACAGAGCCTTGACCACGGGGAGCCCCTGGGGGCGGCCGGGGCCCCGGAGCGGAGCTGGGGCCGAGCTTGACATGTCCATCTTCTACACAGAAAACCGTGCGGCCGGGCACCACGGGGCTGGAAACAAAGAATCAAGTTATTAGACAGCCGGGGGACACGCGGGAGGGCGCGCATAGCGACTCAATCATACGGTCCCGTGACTGCTATACAGACTGCAGGTTAGCGGACCAGAGATAAATATTCAGCGTCCCGTGCGGTCGGGCGAATTCCTCAGGGAATGGTTCCATAGCGGACACTGAATGAGGGGAGAGGGCACCATTGTAGGCGGGAATACGGAGACCCCGGCCTCACTATACCTGAGCAAGGACGCTGCGTGATGTCCTCACTGCACACAAGATGATATCTCCAGGCTCAGGTCCTCAGCTGTGACTCTTAACCCGGACCGACAGCCATGTCCGCCGCCCTGCCCGCCTCGTATTTGGCGCCACAATCCGCTAGCCAATCAGAGCCGAGAACGAAAAAACACTCGCCCAATCAGAATCCCTAGCAAGGGATCCTATTCTGGTGCCGCCCTCTGCAGGGCGCCAACTAAGACAGGAGCTGATTGGCGGAAAGCTGAAGAGCAGGGACGACATCCAATGGCGGCTCTGTTAGCAGCTTGCTGGGTGGGGGCCATCGGCATAGGTGCCGGCCTATAGCAGAGCGAAGCTGTTTCTGACAGCAGGGAATGCCAAGGCACGCTGAGCCAATAGCGGCTCAGCTCGCGCATTGACAGGACATGACGGAGGGAGACGCCTGACAGGTTAACGGCGGAGGTGAGTGACAGGTCAGCCGGCCAATGAGAGCTCGGATCACCTCAGGCTCCCTTCAGCATCCTGAAGAAGGAGAGGGAAGTTGATGCTGCGACTGCTGATGAGGGGAGACCGGTGACACAATGCACATGGAGGAGGCCACATATATGAGGTGAGTCAGAGAGCCTGAGCTGAGGTATGAGGGAGGCTGGACACCTCACATTCACCAGGAAACATTTCTGTCATTATGTCCCAGACCAAAATGTGATGGGAGGTGAGAAAAACCAGCCTCACCCCCTGCGTCCCCCGAAACACACATTCTGCTTTCCCGCAACCATGGCAAAATGACCTTCCCGCCATGCCCATCCCCCTGCTCGTGTAATCGGCCTGCACAGAGTTTGAGGTGCAATGCTAGCCATCCCCTGACGTGTCACATGGATCTCCACCTTCCCGCTCCGCCTTAAACTGAAGTAAAAAGAGAATTTCACCATCAATTCAATTCATCCTCAACTCCGTCCTCCCCTTCAGTCTGATATCTGACCTCCGACCTCCCCTTCTGATATCTGACCTCCGTCCTTCCCTTCAGATATCTGACCTCCGTCCTTCCCTTCAGTCTTCTATCTGACCTCCGACCTCCCTGTCAGTCTTGTATCTGACCTCCGACCTCCCCTTCAGTCTCCTATCTGACCTCCGTCCTTCCCTTCAGCCTTCTATCTGACCTCCGACCTCCCTGTCAGTCTTGTATCTGACCTCCGACCTCCCCTTCAGTCTCCTATCTGACCTCCGTCCTTCCCTTCAGCCTTCTATCTGACCTCCGACCTCCCTGTCAGTCTTGTATCTGACCTCCGACCTCCCCTTCAGTCTCCTATCTGACCTCCGTCCTTCCCTTCAGCCTTCTATCTGACCTCCGACCTCCCTGTCAGTCTTGTATCTGACCTCCGACCTCCCCTTCAGTCTCCTATCTGACCTCCGTCCTTCCCTTCAGCCTTCTATCTGACCTCCGACCTCCCTGTCAGTCTTGTATCTGACCTCCGACCTCCCCTTCAGTCTCCTATCTGACCTCCGTCCTTCCCTTCAGCCTTCTATCTGACCTCCGACCTCCCTGTCAGTCTTGTATCTGACCTCCGACCTCCCCTTCAGTCTCCTATCTGACCTCCGTCCTTCCCTTCAGCCTTCTATCTGACCTCCGACCTCCCTGTCAGTCTTGTATCTGACCTCCGACCTCCCCTTCAGTCTCCTATCTGACCTCCGTCCTTCCCTTCAGCCTTCTATCTGACCTCCGACCTCCCTGTCAGTCTTGTATCTGACCTCCGACCTCCCCTTCAGTCTCCTATCTGACCTCCGTCCTTCCCTTCAGCCTTCTATCTGACCTCCGACCTCCCTGTCAGTCTTGTATCTGACCTCCGACCTCCCCTTCAGTCTCCTATCTGACCTCCGTCCTTCCCTTCAGCCTTCTATCTGACCTCCGACCTCCCTGTCAGTCTTGTATCTGACCTCCGACCTCCCCTTCAGTCTTCTCTCTGACCTCCGTCCTTCCCTTCAGTCTCACAATGTGCATTAGAAGCTGCAGGAAGTCACATAGAGCCCCGCCTCATTTCCTGGCTGGGGGACCCTAACCCCAGCCTGAGTGTCCCTGGCCCCGCCCCTTTCATTCATTGGATGTCGATCACATGCGGGCGTCACCCTTACAATGGAAGCTCCTCCTTGGTGTTTAAAAGTCTCATCTTCCTGCAGACTCGGCCGGTCCCCAGAGCCCTGGTCCTGGCATCCTGGTATGGGGGGAGGCTCCTTTCCCTTGTGGGGTCCCATGGAGCCTCCCTTGTGTGCGCCGGTAAGCTCTGCGTCTCCACCCACACAAAGGCACGGCAAGCGACTCCCCTTCTCCCTCCCCTGGCTCCTCCCACTTCCCAGCTAGTAGATGGACGGCTGCTGGAGTCTCCTCTGCCCCTTGTGAGCTTGTACTGCACAGGAAGTTCAGGGAAGATGAGCCGAGAGAGTTGGAGCTGTTCAGAACCATGATGGCTGTGTTTGGTCCGGATCACGTTAAGAATCATGTGACTTCCGTTGTCAGCCGTAGGAGGAGAGATCACACTGGTGTATGCGGGCCCTCAGATCTGTACCTGGTGGTATGTGTGGGAGGGGCCCAGCCTGTCCCTGGCACCGGTACCCCGCCATTTGCCAAATGAATGAGGGTGCCTCTGTGTGCAGTGGATGGGTCCGGGTGTTGCCGGGTTCGGGCGAAGCTTCAAATTGGAGTCAGGGCTTCTGAAGTATGAAGTCTGGAGGTCGGGGCCTCTGCATATGAAGTCTGGAGGTCGGGGCCTCTGTATATGAAGTCTGGAGGGCGGAGCCTCTGTATATGAAGTCCGGAGGTCGGGGCCTCTGTATATGAAGTCCGTAGGGCGGAGCCTCTGTATATATGAAGTCTGGAGGTCGGGGCCTCTGTATATGAAGTCTGGAGGTCGGGGCCTCTGTATATGAAGTCTGGAGG